GAGTAGCAGAACACTGACTAATACAGTTACTCTCAAGTTTATATTCCCTTGGAGAGACCAGTAGCAGCTGTTCACAGGGAGGTCCTTGTCTGTGGCCCTCACTTTGAGTAGCTTTGACTTGGGTCATTTGAGATATGTTCTGTGCAAGTGTCACAGCTAGAGAGTCACTATGGGCTCCAATTCTGCATAGTCCTGTGCTGACCATGTAGCTGTGACTCAGTCTCCTCACTGCATTCAGTTCAGAGTTGTTATGAAGATTAATGAGGATGATGTGCACATAACCTTGAGATGACAACCATCTCAGATAAGATGCCCAGCACCCACGCATCTTTCAGGTCAGCTGGACAGATTTCCAAGCCTTCAGCACCATTTGAGAGACTCTAGGCACACAGGTGTCTAGCACAGGATGTTACATTATTTGATCTTTATTGGACTTGATTGCTTCCAGGCCTTTCCATAATGTTGACATCCTGATTCACCCCCGACTGGTAGCTGCAGGTGGCCACACCCTGTGAGCTTCCTGCGATTGCAGTCATTACTCAGCAATGTTTGGTGACACAAGGTCACCATCACACCATCTGTCTAAGCTCCTTTCCACTCCTGCTCCCACCCTGAGGATACACACACACACACACACACACACACACACACACACACAGGCATAGTTAATTTAGGTTTGGGCTTTTTAATTTCCAGTTTGCTCTCAAGAGCATTTTGATCATGGGGTGGTAGGAAGGGGGGACCCCAGAAGTACCTCAGCCCATTAACACCAGGTGTCATTCCTGCTTCTCTGTCTGTGAAAGACTTTCTGACCTCTAGTTTTGGGGTCCTCAAGAAGTCATGGCTGTGATTTAAACATGACTCTGAAAGGTTTTGTGTTGGAAAGTTGGTCACATGTCAATGTTGCTCAGAAGTGAGGCCTTGGGGAAGTGATTAGGAGAGATGAGGTCATGAGGGTGGGGCCCATGGTGGTATAAAAGGTTTTACAGGAGAAGAGAAAGAGAGACCTGAGCTAGCACTCTTGCTCTGTCTGGCCACGGGTATCCCTGTTAAGATGCAGCTAGAAACCTTCATAGATTCTGGCACCTTGATCTTGGATTTCTCTCACTTCAGACCCATGAGCCAAATAAACTTCTATTTCTTATAGATCATGTAGTCTCAGGAAATTTGGTTACAGCAGCATAAAATGAACTGACATACTTCCTCTTACGGCTCACATCATCCTGGCCTTCGCTGTGCTGAGTGGCCGATGGTACCTCTGTTTCTTCTCATCACTGTCTTAAAATCACCCAAGCAGCCAGCCTTCCCCTATGTCCCCATGTCTGGGGAAGATCAGGGCTGTGGTGGTGGAACGCTTTGAGATGAGCAGTGGAGGCAATGACAAAGTCATAGCACTGGGGCTCACCTTCCCTGAATACCTGTGGAGGACATGGGTAGATAGAATATGTCCCCCAAAAGAAGTGTGTCTTAACCCCCAGAGTGAACTTATTTGGCATTAATTGAGATGAGATCACATTGGAGTAGGGCAGGCTCTGATGTAGTGACTGACGTGTTTGTAAAGTGAGGGAAATTGGAACACGCACGCACATGCATGCACATACAGAAACGTCATGTGAAGAGTTAGATACACAGACACACAGGGAGACTGTCACATGATGATAGAGACAGACATTAACATATGTGTCTAAAGCCAAACAATGTCACAGCCAAGGAATGTCACAGCTACCAGGAGCCAGGGGAGAGGATGGGATGGTTTTTCCCTACTGACACCTGGGTTGGGGATATCTGGCATCCAGGACCATGTGAGAATAAGTAGCTATTTTGTTAGCCACCTGCTCTGTGGTTCTGTCACAGCAGCCGCGGGACATGAAGACAGAAGTCTGAATTACAACATCCATCTACCAGGACCGTCATTCTGGTGCCACACCCAATGTCCTGGGCCCTGTGGACCAGGCTCCACCCTAGATGCTGGTGGCCACATCCAGCCTCTGCTCAGATGGGCCACACCCCTCCCGGCTCCAGCACTGGAGGTATCTGGAGGCTCCTCTCACCCGTAATTGTTCTTAATGCTTTAACACATGATGACTAATGGGCTCTAATTGGACAGCTTCAGCACCAAGCGGTGGCCCAGGGAACTCTCTGACAGCACCCTCTGTGACCCACGGAGCCTCCTGTGGCTCACACGCAGAGCGCAGGGCTCCCCAGGCAAAAATATTGGCTCATTTTTCTATTTTTGAAAAACTATCACACCAGAGCTGATAAGCAGTTTTATCCTTCACCTGACAAATACAGGACAAAGAAAAGGATAGAGGAGAAACTGAAAGCAGATGGGAGCAAACATCACAAATGCCACTGAGGTCGGTGGCATCTGTCTAGAGACAACCCAGAGAGCTCCTGGAGCAAACCCAGCACCAATTAGAGGAGGGTTCGAGAGAGCCAGGAAGATTCCAGCCCCCAATTTCCTCCTCACAGGGAAAGGAGAGAGGAGAGAGCATCTCAGACACCTCCTCGTCTCCTCCCTGACCCCACGGGCCTGTGTGTGACTGCACACGTCCCAGAATCACAGTGAGAGGGCCGGGTAAAGTGACAGGTTGGCAGAGTGAGGGGCCTTGGAAGAGGAAGTGTAAAAAGCTTAAGGAACCCAAAATTCCTCAAGGGGGGGAGGAAGAGAGAGAGAGAGGGAGGGAGGGAGATTGAGAAACAGCTGAGGGGTCCCAGGTCTTTGTTCCCCCGATCTCTGTAGCACGCTCCCAGAGCTGTCCCTTTGGCGAATGTTCAGAAGGGATTACAGATTCCGAGCCCCGTACCCAACCCAAGCACATTTTTCCAACTCCATGTGTCAACAGAGGGGAGCCTCAAGTGTTTCTAAACGGACCCACGATCCAAAGTGCACTCAAGCTAAAGTCTTCAAATTAAACTCTCAGATTGGAGAAGAAAAGATGTCACTACAGAACGAGGCCCCACAGCCTTCCCCAGCAGAGCCTGCGTGGACGAGTCCCCATGTGCAGGAACGTCTGTGTGAGTGTCAAGAGAACTGGCTTCTCCCTCTCCCCATTCCTGCTGGGGAGACCACCATGCCACAGGGATGCCGTGGAAGGCGTGCCCACCACTGATTCGGGCAGCCTGTGCCTCAGTTCGGCCCAAGGTGCCAGCATCCCTGTGATGGATTCTGGTTTAACAGCTTTTAAAAACAAGCAGACAAGAGACAGGCATGATGGATGAATACAGGAAGTGTGCTCATTGGAGATGATTTATGGGAGAGTGTTCGTCACACTCATGGGTGCAGCTCCAAGCGGCACCAGAGATCGACGCATTTCCACCTGAACAGCGCAGGCAGCATGGCTGGGATCGCTCACCCACAGCCTCAACATGCTGTGCCCCTGCCTCAGTCACCTGCTGTCCTGCACCGATGGCTCCTAATATCAGCCAGAAGACTTGGCTCACCTCTGGGCTCCAGAACAGTGGTGCTCCTGCCTTGCAAAATCATTTGGGGAAGGGACATCCAGCTGTGTGGAAGGGACATCCAGCTGTGCCAGCTGGCTCTGCTGAGTGACCCCAACAGTGCAGTGATGTGGTTTGGGAGATTCCAGCTGTCCCACGAGAGTGGTAGGGGCAAGAGAAGAGGAAAAGAGGAGACAGCATGTGACTACCACCAGGGCTTTGGTCCTGGATGCTGAGGGTGGGGGGCATCTCTTCCTGGACCGCTGCAGAGCCATCTGCCTGAGGCCTCAGGCGTTGCATTTGGAGACAAATCTTATTTTGTAGCAGATTAATTTCCACCCATGTTTTTACTAAGGACTTGGAATTTACTATACAGTAAAACCCAAACTGAACCCCTATGTGAAGGGATGAGCTTTAAAATGAGATCTAATGGATGGGACCCTTTCTGAGACAGAAGGAATGATCAGGGCAGGGCAATAGCCTGGGAGGAATCTGCTCCCTCCCTGCAACCTGCTTTGACCCTAGGATACTTCTGTAGTGAGGGAGCCACACCATGCGGCCTTCACATCAAGGACATTCCTGGACCAACACCCCAGCCCACCCAGATTCCCGCAGGTTTCTCCGCCTCCGCTTTTCCACCTGGCATGTGGAAGTCCCTGGCAGGAGGCCTTTCTCCAGGGATGGGCCACTGCCTCTGGGCTAGATGGGCATCCATGGCAGGGTGGGCTGGGCAGCACCTCTCTGGAGCCCACATCTGGGTCCATGCCAAGAGCTGGAGTACAACCCTGGGGGTAGGGTGTGTGCAGAGGTCAGGAGCCTGGCATACTGGGCCACTGATCCGTGTGCCTGTCTCTACTTCAGATTGCCACCTGTCTTCCCCAGGCTGATTAAAAGACACAGCATCAAGGCCACACACAGGCATCTGGGACGCATAAGTCAGCCCCAAACATATCTCCAGCAAGGTCCTCCAGAGCCCCCGTGGTCGGCAGAGTGATACAGTGCCCACAGACACACCCTGGCACGCTTATGGCAATGCTGAGGAGCCATGTGAGTATGCCATGGGGGTTGTTTAAAGCTTTGTCCCAAACATGGCCCCAGAAATCCCTCTGCTGTCATCCTGAGTCTGTGCCCCACCCAGTTGCCCTCCTGAGACCGGGTAGAATCTCCCCAGCTGTCCCCTGCTCCTGCTCCAACCTCCCTACTCTGTCTGCTCCTACACAGAAAGCAGCGTCACCTTCACACAAGGCAAATTGGGTCATTCACACCCTTCCCTTAAGACAAAATCCAACACAGCCATCAAGGATACTCACAACCTGTCTTCTTTCCCTCTTTTCACTTCCTGCTGGGCTCCTTAACTGGACCTTACAAAGCTCCGCCAGTCACATCCCTGACCTGCCAGACCTTCCCAAAGGAAGTTACAAGCCACCATGATCTGCAAGCTGGAGACCAACACAGAGCACCCTGCCCTGCCACTCCTCTGTCAAGTGAAATTGCCTCGTTGATTCGCGCTCTCAAGTGCAAGCTCAGAGTGTGCATGACAGGCCGGTGGGGAGTCTTACCTGGTGCCAGTGGGCAAGGTGAGTGGCGTCACTGGGCAGTGAGGCCCCAGGGAAGTTCCGGGGTACAGCGAGCGTCCCTGGGAGAGCAGGTACCACGAGAAGGGCTTAAATTCTCAGGGACAGGTTTTCAATCTGAAGGAAAAGAGAAAAAAGGTTTCTGAAAAACGCCTTTGAATGGGTTGTCCTCATTTTAATCTAAACAAGTTCTAGTACATTATTAATAAACAAGAGGAGAGAGAGAGAGAGAGAGCAGAATTGCCCAGGTTTGCCTCCAGGGATCAGCATCCATTCCTCTAAAGAGCACTTTTGCTTTTCAAGCCAAGGGACGTGAAAGGAATCTGGAGGAAAAGAAACCATGGAACTCTGTTGCCAAGGAGCCGTGCACGGGTCATTCTGCTGTTGTGTGCCTTGACTCTGGTCACCCACTTCCTCTGGTTCCCCAGCCCCAGGATGCTTGTATCCCACTAAGCTGCCCCGTCTTCTCTCAGCCCCCTCCTGCTCTCACTTCTGGAAGCCTCCACTGTCAGCCCTCCTGCAGCCACCTTGTCCTGCCCTTTGTATGAGATTGATCAGCTGACACCACTACGCTGACCACAGCACTCCCACGGTCCCACTTCATTCAGAGAAAATATCCATGGCCATGGTGAATCCAGCTTTGGGGAGCCTAAGGTCTGCAGGACCTGGGGGACTCACTCTCTAAGAAAATAACACAAGATGATGGATGCAAAGCTAAGATGCAGGGCTTGCAGCGGGCTTAGGCATTCACACAGCTCGGTTCCTCGCACCTCTGCAACCCCGGCCTCCTGGCTCCCCTCCACACACGCTTTCATCCCACCACATTCCGTGCCATGCCCCTCCCTGCCTACTGTGTGGCTGGTTGCCCTGCTCCTCTCCCCCCAGGGACTCTGAATATGGCACTTCCCATGGAGGCCATTCCAGGCCAAACACCCTGTAAAAATCACAGCTTCTTGGCATTCCCTGCTCCCTTCCCTGCGGCTGCTCCCCCAGCACCCATCACCTGATGTCACTGGTCAGCTTTTGTGCCTCTGCTGAGACGCAGGTGCCCTGAGGACAGCAGGCCTTTGCAGCTGTGGGACTCACACTGAATCCTTGGCTATGGGTTCTCGTTGAAAGAAGGAGTGAAGGAAAGAACTCTCACTCTCATTCTCTCCCGCTAATGCTCCTGGTTTTGTTTAGAGCAGTGTCCCACCTTCCAGAATTAAGCTCCAAGAAGCAGAAGGAGGCTGGTGGATTCTGTGGTTTCTGAGGGGGCGGGGGAGGGTGGTGGGCACCTTTGCTCTGGAAAACTTCTGTTTGCTCCATTTATCCTACCCCAGATAGTGTGCCTGCTGTCAGGCTGGTAGAAGGCACGCACGATTTGGCAGATCCACTCCATCAGCCCAGAGCCTGGCTCTGGGTGGTTATGTGATCAGGCTGGGAGTACCAGGGAGTAGCTGAGCTCCTCACCTCACCCCACTGACAGAAAGCCTTCCACCCACCCATCACAGAGATCTCATGACAAGGCTTTAAAGGAAAAACACTACTACTATTAAAACTCTGTTTCTTTTCCTAAAATGCAATTACTTAAGGGTGCACAACCCCCATCCTAATTGTAGGAGCAACCTCACAGGGAGCCTGCTGACCTCAGGGAGAGGCCCAGCAATGCCTACCAGTACCATGCTCAGCGCAGGTAGCTGGGCACAGGTTCTGGGCACAGAAAGGGTGAAAACACCCTGGCTCCAGAGGCCCCTCCTCCACGGGAAGTGGAGTGCCCTGTGCTGTTTCTTCAGTCTAAAGGCAGTGAGGGAGAGGCCTGCGGGGACAGACAGGGGACGCTGGCACAGGGGCCCTCAGGAAGAGGGAGACGGGGGCCCAGAGCGGGGAACCAAGTTGAGCGCAGGTGGGCGGACTGCTCTTGGACCTCAGGGCTAGATTCTCAGCAGCTGGCACAAAAGGCAAGGGCATCATTCACTCTACAACAGGCCTCTCAGAGCAAGAGGTTCCAAGTGGGAGGTCTGAGCCTGAGCGTGGGGTCCACCCCCCTTGTCCCTGGTTCCAGTTGAGCTGGGAACCCATCCCAAGTTTCTTGTGTTTCTCAGAGGTTTCGGGGAGATCACACAGGATGCTCTTTGATCCCGAGACCCTGGACGTGACTCCCAAGAGCCTGCTCTCCCTCTTCTGGGTCGCCTGTTCTGCACACAAGTCTCCCACAGGCTGGATGGTCCCTGGAGACTCCGCCTTGCTCTGATCTCTCGCCACCTCCAACACAGAGAATACCTGGGCCGGGATGGGCTGGTGGGCACACTGTCTTCTACCCTCATCTGTTCTGTTATCTGGCCTTTGGGGCAGACAGAACCACCTCCCAGGGCAGTGAGAGCAGCACAGGAAGGCACCAGAGCAATGGGCATCACACAAGGACGTGGGGACAGAACCCATTCCTGGGGACCCAGGCTGCCCAGTGGAATGTTGGAGGAGATAGACACATGAAAGCTGCCTGGCCTAGAGTCCCACCCAGAGTCCCTAGAACCTAAGTTCAATGAAGACAGAGAAAAGGACCAAAGACAAGGAGGGGAGAGTAGACAGATAAAGGGATCTACTGCCCTCACCCCTCTCCCCCCTACTTTGGTCTTTATTGTAACTCCTGAACTGCATCCACCTATTCCAGAGAAAAATTCCTTTGCGTCCCCCAACCCAGAGCCGAGAGCTGCACACAAACCCCAGAAGGAGGCACCCCAGCACCCATCCTCCGCTCTGCACCTCCTAAGCCAGCTCACCCAAGACATTATTTCATTTTAACACATCCTACACAGCCCGTCTGCAGCCGCTGGCTTAGAGGACGAAGACACCATGGCTAGGGGTGGGGACCCATCACAGCACTGTCACCTGTCAGACCAGCCTCCACCCAAGTGTCCAGGCTGAGGGGCAGCCTGTACCCTCCATGCCTCTCCTAGCTGCCCTGCCTGGTCCCACCAAAGGGCCCAGCCAGCCTGGTTTTGTTTCCTCAACCCGAGCCAAACGGGAGATACTAGAACAGCCTGTTCTCTGTTCTTGCTTGTAAAAGCGCATCTTTCCTCGCTCTGCAAAAGCATCCACCATCCATCACCATGGCACAGAACACGGGGCTGAGGCCCACACACACCCCTCCTGGCCCCTGAGCCCCCAGCCATCAAGGTTTTGGGGGTGCTGGACTAGTCTCTGCCCCCCTCCACGTGTCTGCTCCAGGATGCCAAAGAGAGCACAATGGGGTGGGGCAGTGGAAGGCAGATGGCAATAAAGTGGCCGCAAAGCCTGTCTCGTGGTTTTGGTCATGCTGCCCTTGGGCAGGGTGGGGAGAGCGGCAGGTCCAGCTGAGGGTGGATGTCTGGCTTGGATGATGGAGACAAGAGGAGCTCCCTAAGCTCACCCAGGGCCCCAGGGTCCAGAGCACAATCCACTCTCCCCCACTACCCCAACTTGCCATTCGCAGGGACAAGAGTCCAGTGTGTCTCTTTTGGGAGCAGGAGCTGCATCTTTCTTTCTCTGAAGCACATTCATTGCAGCCCATGGAGAGCAGAGTGCAGTGCCAGGCCCCTACCATCCGGCCTTGGCACACGCACTACCCAACACAGGAGCACACGGGGCGCGTCCAACTGTTGACCTTCAAGCAGGAACGTTGTCCCCAGCCTCTTCAGCTCTCCCTACTATGGGGAAATCAGATGAGGAGCTCTGAGCCCTCATCCTGTCCCCTACACACACGCACACACACACACACACACACACACACACACACACACACACACACCAGCTGTACCTCTGACTCCAGGACCCCAGGGATGGTGGAGCGTAAAAGGTCACTGTTGACCATGACTTTTGAGTCCTTCTTGATCCCTTTACCTGCTTCTTTAAGATCCAACCCATTTGCTTTAAAAATTGGGACTCCCAGAATAATTTGGGGCCCCCAGGATGCTTAAGTGTCTGAGCAAGACTGGACGTGGGCAGTCGGGGACCCAGAAAGCTGGAAAGTGTTAATTAAGTGTGATCCCGTCCAGGGATAGAGTTATGCCCCAGGGCTGGGCAGAAGATTCAGTCTCAGAGAAGAATTATAGAGACCATTCCCAGTCGCAGCTTCTCAATTAGTCTCTTTGCCCATCATGTGGGCTGGCCACTCCAGCCCCTGGCCACTGAGCCAGCCAGCTCCCAGCTTTGTCCCAAGTGACGGGAGGCCTGGGGCTACCTTTGGTGCTCTGACTTATAAAAGGTCTCTCCTGGGATTCTTATCACTGGGGAGATAAAATGGAAAAAAGGAACATCTCAACTCCAAAAAAAGCATCCTTCTACAAAAAGCAAGCCACAAACAAGGGAGGAGGGAGGTAGGGGAAGGAAAGAGGGACAGATAGACAGAGGAACTGTAGGGGACAAGGTACATTTGTCCAGGGGGAAAGGGCAGAGATGGAGTAGAAGTTATCACAGCCATTGGAGCAGACGCCACAGGCAGACAGGCCCTGGCCAAGAAGAGATGGGGAAGACAGGGCCCTGGGGCAGAACAGGAGAAAGCAAAAATGGAGAGCCTGCCTGGACTGACCTAGATGGTCTTAGACAGATGCACTGCCCTTGATCAGAGCATGGATGTTTGTCTGCCAGGGGGTCCAGAGTGATGGGTGAGCATCAGCTAGAAAAAGAGGGGGCCAAGAAGAAGCTGGGAGAACCCAGCTAAGTCATCATCATCATCACCCACACATCATCGAAAAAGGACAAACCTTAAGTGCACAGGGAGGGCAGACCCCTCCTGGTGTTTGTACTCAGTTCTGTGAAATGAAGCATGGGAGAAAGAGAGAGAAACCAGGCAGGGTGAGCCATGTGCATGAAGCAACACTTCTGGTGAAAATTCCTAGGTCTGCCAGGGATGTAGCTCAGTGGCACAAGCTCCTGCCTGGCAAGCACAAGGTCCTGAATTTGATTCCCGGTACCAAAAAAAAAAAAAAAACCAGAAAATTCCTAGGTAACCTGAAAACAGGTAGGGATCAGACGAAGCTGTCAGTCACTTCACTGCCCCATGACGCTGACTCCCAGAGGTGGGGTGCTGTAGAATGACCTTCACATTCTACACAGCAAAGCAAACTAAGCTCACCGGAGAACCCCAGGTCCCATGACCC